GTGAATATATATATGTATATATATGTATATGTGTATATATATATATTGTGTGTGTGCGTGTGTATATATATACACACACACACATATACACTCATACTGCATTAAAAATACATAGTTTAAGTAGCCTGCCTATAAAATAGACATGCCTTTTCTATTGAGAAATTATTACAGCATTTTTTTTTGTGAATAATATTGCAAATCACAAAAAGAAAAAAAGAAAATCTACTGCACCTAATAGCTAAGCAGAAAAACTCCTTGAATACTGCTGGATTTTGTCTTTCCTTTTTCCTTTTTTTGGGAGTGTGTGTGCATGTGTGGGGGCTCATGTACATGTAGAGATAAAATGTAATTCAAACCAGCCTAATATTATTTAAGATTTCTGCAAAAAGTATTGAAGTTGCTACACTGTTTGGGTTAAGATCTATAACACCCAGCTGTTGCTGGACAATACTAGGCTAATCCTTGCAGTAAATGATTCTGTGTAACCGTAGCGCTGTGCTACAAAAATATCACAAAAGATAACAAGATTCACTGCAGAAAAAGAGCAGAAGTATTATTGACCACCAGTATCCTAAAACGCATGTTGCAAAATCCAAAGCCTACCAAAATGAATAACTTTAGCAGCCTATCCAGCAGCCTTTTCAGTAAGTACTTTGGCTTTCGCGACGTGAAAGCACGCAGGGCGCGTACCACCGAGGCGCCCAACCTCTTGCCTCTCTCCGGAGTCTTGCTGAACTAAGACAACTCAAACAAAGCTTTATTTACATTACAGATTTACATTTTTACTATCTGGGAGCCTGATCCTCTGGTCCTTATTCAGAACCTGCTAAGTTGCCCGGTTGCAAGTACGGGCACGGCGGGACCCTGTCCCTCGGCAGGCTTTCACGGGCAAATTTCTCCAGGGCTTATGTCCAAAGCTTGGTGGGCTGAGTAAGGGCTGCCTTCAGTTATTATTATTGTTATTACTATCATTATTTTAGTGTGGTAGCAAAGGAGGACTGCTTCCAAAAGAAGCTCTGAACTGTGCAGTTCCTTTTTTAGCTTTTAATCTCTAGACGGCCGTTCTTTTGTTTAAGGAGAGCTTCTTCTAAATAAACCTAGTGCAAGAGGTTGAAGTTGCATGGGGTGGATCCTGACCACGTAGCCATCCAGGCATGGCTGTCCTCTGGTCTACAGCGAGCAGCTCAACCCCCTAGAAGCTAATTATGTGAAAATTTATAATCTGCTTTCAAAATAGGTATTATTTGCTGTGCTAGAAGATGGCCTCATGATTTCTACGTGCCATAAGGCGTACGTACAGTACGTGAGCTTCCGGCGCAAACCTCTGCTGGTGCCTACTGCCAGGAGACAGCAATACCGACCTCTTTAGCCTTTTGAGATAATAACCAGCCTTAACGTATTAACGCGTAAGTTCAAGGAAGCAGCACTGAAACTAAGAGCTAGTTGCGAGCCATTTCAGTGGGACCAGGCTTGCACCCAGACTAACAGCAGACCTACAGCTCTGGTTTCTTAATACCACCCTGTATTCCTCCTTTGCCCAACTCCCAAACCCTAGAAATACTGAGAATACTTTTCAAACCACAAACCCAAGCATATCCATCTCCTCATCCATCCTGAAATGTTCAAAGACTGCTTCTGAAAATATTTCAGAAGACAATACTGTTGTTTTTTTCATCCAAAACAACTTCAAAGTAAACACACAGAGAATCTCATAAATATTTTCAATTTAGGATAAATTATTTGGGCATTTCTCATGCGGTCAGACAAGTTAAGGTCTCCCGAAGCTTCGCTTTTCGGCGCTGAAAAGCAAGTAGGTGACAGAGATTACACCGAAGGAAGCGCTGCTTTGCCACGGATGACGATTCCTCCTCTGCAGAGCGCTGTCTGGGACCACGGGGATGCTTTACACAACTACAGCTCCGTCCAACAACCCATACTCACACGAGTAACCTTCACTCGCAGGAGGAACGCCACGCAAATTAATGGGATTGAAAGAGTAAGAACTGGTCACGCGAACAGCAGTCTTTGCGACTTAGCCCCTAACAAGCACCTCGGGAGGGGTCGGGGAGAAGCAAGCCAGTGAAAATAACTACTGATAAATATAAAAAAAAAAAAAAAAAAAAGAAAAAAATAAGTTGGAGAAATGAAAATTGCCCTAATATTTCACAAATTAGGTTTTTAACATCCCTTTCATTAGTAGCTACCAATATGAAGCACTGAAGCACTATACTGTGTTGTTGCTTTTGAAGCATAAGCCCTCATTCACATCGATAGGGAATAAAGCTTAAAAACAAATGCCTCTGGTACATGCTAAATGATATTTTTGTTGTTTGCTAAACTCTAGCACTTTATGAATGACGAAAAGCTGTATCACGATTTTACCATGACTCCAGATTATTAAGAATTTTTAAAGCTGTTAAAATGTTAATCCAAAAGTCGGTTTTATTTTTAGTTTCAGCTTTTACTTTCTACAGAAAAATGTAGTGTTTTTTCTATGCTT